CCAATCAGGGACACTATACCTAACACCCATCAGCAGCCCATCCCAGGCACTCATACCACAAGCAGTGAGCATTCTCACTGTTCCAAGAACTGTTCTAAGTACAAAGAACAGTGAAAAGGAAAGGTGCTTTGTCCCCTTGTGTCCACCTCCCCCACCCCCTGCCAAGCCCCCTCACCCCATAACCTGCTCAGGAGAACAGAGGCTTCAAGGGACACTTCCGACTAGACCGATGGCCTTCACTTTGTTCAACCGGTTCTTCTTGTCTTTTAAGGTCGATGGCTATCTCCTCGGTGTGATCTTTCTGGTAAACTAGTCTTCAAGGAAGCTTCCTCACCTCTGACTTTCACTTACTGCCCGACACACATACAATCCCATGTGGTCCTAAAATACCATCCTTATTTCACATCTGAGATACCAAAGCCAGCTCATGGAGCAAGGAAACACTTCCCAAACTAGGCAGAGGCCTATGAAACTACTGACCTACTGTTGTAGTTTCTAGGGTGTACATTTTATTTATATATAGACTTAGCAATCTATAAGGTTAATATTAACCACTAGGTAATTCAAGAGACTGAAAATTTAGACAAGCAAAGACCACTATAAAGTATAAATACAAAAACAAAAAAAACCAACCACATGAACTTTTCTTGGGCCCCTGCTGGCGGCAGTTTTAGACAAGCTCCTTATTGGCTAGGGAACCCTGAGTAACCTCCTTATTGACTAGGGAACCCTGGGTAAGCTAATGAACAGTCATCTTTATCTGATAGGGCTGTGATGAGGATGGAGAACCTGTGTGAGTGCTTAACACAGTGCCTTGTACCAGAGTGCTCAAAACACATTAGCCACTCCCTTGCTGCGAGGAGTGACCCCTCCCATGTGCTAACCTATCTTTGTGTTTAGCAATACCTGGTGGAAGAATCTGTGCTTAAAAGTGGAACTTGGATTACAGGGGCTTGTCACACTGTCTGGATGACCAAAATGAGAAGTAAGGGCGAGCCAAGTGGGAAAAATGCTACAAAGGCAAAACAGGAACGTGGCAAACACCTTCTTCAGACAACTGTTGTCACTTCTTCCTACACAAGAGAACCTTCTACCTGTTTCTTCACCTGCAAAGTGAGGACACACAGCTATCAAATACGCCTGCAAGGTTCTAGATTCTAGGCGTAGTAATACTCCATAAACTGAGTCATTGCTTAGGCGTTCTGGACTCTCTAAAGTAAGTGACCTTAGACAGCATCTCCTGCAAAATCGAGTGATACCTATTCGGCGGGACTGAATAAGTGAAAAAACACAAAGTATTAGGGACTGAGAACTTTGGAAAAGCCCGACTACTGAGAATGACTAAATTACTAGCCTATTCTTTGGACTTCAAATTCTCAAAGGTGGAGTGTTAAGAAACTAATACTGGCTCAGAAATAAAAAGAACTGGCCTTTGTTAGACAGCATGATAACCGCAGGCAAGTCTGGGACCCTCTCCAAACCTTCCTTCCCATGGCTGAAAAGTGAGAGAATTTTAAGAGAGGATCCCTGGGCTCCTACCAGTTCTTCCACTTCGCTGTTAAGGCCGTCGAAACAATGGCCACCCGCTCCCTAGTCTGTACCCGAGGGGCCACAACTCAAAATTCTTGCTGCTCAACTCCCTTTGCAGTGAGACAGCAGGAGCACCCGAGTCTCCATCCAAGGCCGCCGCACTCTGCGGTCTCTGTCCACTCCATCAGTAACTTGCTTGTGCAGCTCTTGCCCAAAGTTTTCCAGAGCGCCTGGAGACCCCGCTGTCAGTCAATCCCGAAAAGAGCGGGGGCGTGGGGAGCCGAGCCCAGGAGCGCAGACGGGGAAATCCCGAAGCCGCTCCAGTGGCCAGGCAGGGAGTGACAGGTGCGACGCGGGACGCCGGCGAAGACGGGACAAACCAGAGCGCGTGTGGGCGCGCGAGGGAGGCGGCCGCCTCGCTTTCTCCTCTGGCAGCACTCGAGACGCCCCCAGCCCCACTTCAGGCCCCGCGGCGCCCAGGACTCCTCAGCCACCGGGAGCCCTGCGTCGCGCAGGCTCAGACTCTGGAGCAAGAATTGGGAACCTCCCGGGCAGCCCGGCCCGTGGGTTCCTTCCCGCGCACGCCAAGGCGATCGCGGGGTGGGCGCACGCGCACCCGCGAGCGCCGCCGTAACCCCTTCCTCCCCGCGTGCCCCCCGCACTCCCACCCGGCCGCCACTCACCGTCGATGTCCCCGAGAGTCAGCTCATCGCCCAGCTCCGTGAGGGTCTCCATGGTCTCCAGACCGCCCAGCTCGCTGCTCTCATCCATCGCCCGGCTCGGCGCAGAGTCCCCCGTGAGGTCCAGCTCAGGGAGACGCGGAGGCGGTACCGCCGCCACCGCCCATGACACCCGACAGCCCCCACCTGGTACCGCCTCACCGCCCCGTGCCAACCGCCGCCATGTTTGAGCTGCGCCCGGACTCCACGGAAGGGGCGGGGCAGAATTCCCCCGCCCCGGGCCGCGCCCACCGCAGCCCCGCCCCAAGCCTCCGCACCCCCATGTTTGTTGTCAATGGGACCAGGCTTGCATTAGCCAATCGGAGCGCGAAGCGGCTCATGGGGTGATGGCGCGTCATCGATCAGCAGCTCAGATTTGCATAGCGGGACTCCGCCCCTCCCGGCATCCAAGCGCCAGCGGAGAGTAGCCGCCGGGTCCTCGTCCCAGCCTTCCCCTGGTTTAAAGGAGCCGCTACTTTTCCGTTGGATCAGCTCCAGGAGCAACTTTGCCAAGAGTTCGGAAATAGAAGAGTTAATGCACTGCTGTCCAGCGCTACCTCCTACCACCGCCCCCTTTACTCTTTGAGCACATTACATCATCTACCCAGTTGCTTCTTTTCCCCCCACTAGATCTGGGTAGACTCATAGTACCCTAACATTCAGGGATAGACTATCCAGATCCTAAGTCACACTTAATAGGGTCTTGAATCGCCTGAGTGTTGTGAACATCTTACAACTGGCCCTCAATCTTGGGAAACCACATAATCATTCCAGGCCTTCAGACAAGGTCATTTGCTCAATGGCCTCTTGAGGTGAGGTCCCACTCCTGCAGTTACCTCACTGCATCATCTTACAGGTGGTTGGTCACACTGCACACAAAAATGCACATTTCCAAGAATTTATCCGAGGAAACAAAAAGGTTAGCGTTCAAGGAAATGCTAGTAAGTACATGTATTCAAAGACATTCATCACAAAGTTCTCTGTAACAGGAAAATAGCACAGTAAGGCATCAGATACATAAATTATCTCCAAACTGATATGGGCGTGATACCAGGGAATCATTAAAAGATGGTGGAATAGACATTTGAAAAAGGATTTAAGTGTATATTGTCAAGGAGAAGGTTTTCGTGACAGTCATATGAAGAGCTTCTTGTGAGTCTGAGGCAGTTGTTTTAGCGGTCAGACCTGAAGAACGTACAGGCTCTGTGGGGAAACCTGCCGATCCAATACTCCACCTTGTGCTCCTGGGCTAGCTAAGCAACTGTTTGTTGATAAGCCTGTTTCATCATCTTCAAAACAGCACAGGACCACAGTTGTAATTGTCACATTTATTTGATTTCTGTGGCAAGCAAACAGCTCTTAACTTCTGGGTTTTAAGTGCTCTGAGGGGGAAGGTTTCTCCAGTGAAGGTGTTGCAGCCCTCTCTGAAAGGGAAAGATCCCAGCAGTTGAACCTAGGAATACCACAAAATCACACTACACAACAAACCTCACAGGAGAGATTTATAGGAAGAGGCACAAGAAAGCAGCTCTCTGTGTTATAGGGCAAGAAACAGCAAAGAACTGAGCAGGAGGTAGGAGTTATATAGGGTTTCTTGCTGGGGTTGGCAGAGCTTTCCAGAGTGGCCTGGGCTTGGTGAGATTCTGTGGCCTGTTTTTTTTTTCCCCCTGTAAAACATTGCCTCAAAAATGAAACAAAATCAAATCATTAAACATAAAAATGACAGACCATGGTACAACTAGTCAAGGAAAAGTAAAGGTAAGATGAGACTGGCAAGGGGCTGGATATTAAGACTGGCCTGGGGCCTGCAAGATGGTTCGTGGGTAGAGGTCCTTGCTGCTAAGCCTGATGACATGAGTTCAATCCCTGGGACTCACATAGGTAGAGACCCGATTCTCATTAAGTTCTCTGACCTTCATGTGTGTGCTTAGCAACTGGCCTGGGAAAGGACAAACGAAGGCTCAGTAGAAATGGTAACAGGATGGCCACCACACTGTTCCCACATCTCAGCAAAAGAGACATCTCCCTCCAGACTTGTCCACATAACTGAATGTCTCTTCAGCTGGCACCTGGCTCCCACCAGGAAGACAGCTTGTCATACTGTACAAGCTATTCCTCAGGAACTGGGTTGTTATTTGAAGAGACTGTGTTACGTGACTGTTACATCTAGCTATCTACCATGGATTGGGTTATCGGCTGTACACTGTAGAACTATTTCTCATTGATTTCCCCCGAGATCTTTGCTTTCAGGCTTCCTCCATCTTTCAGATATTACTGCCTCTGCGAGGCTCTCCACTAAATGAATCAAGAGTTTAGCTGGAATGAGCTGAAACATACGTAATGATGGCTGTCCATTCGTAGCAGGGCAGATGCTATCAATGCTTAAGTCTAGAGGGTCTTGATTGTCCAGGAAGAAACGCCCAGAAAAGGGAAGCTAGGTCAAAAATACCTATTCATTTAAAGAAGTGAGGAAAAAGTTTAAAAGAGAGGGACAGAGCGCAAAACAAGGATAACCCAGAGGGATCATCCCCAGAAGCCCGACTTCTCCCTGGACAATGACTAGGAAGGCAGAAGAAAATGGACCGGAGGTGGCAAGGACTGCAATGGTTGGAGACATTTTTAGTTGTCCTAACTGGAGGACTGCTGCTGGCATCTAATAGGTGGGGACCAGGGATACTTATTAACTATCCTACACTACTCAGGATAGGCCTTCTCACACAACAGCTAAGTGATCCAAAATGTCATCAGTGCCATTGTTGAGATGCCCTGCCTTTAAGGGATAACTAAGGGGCTCCCAGATTCTCCAGAGTGCCGCAGACTGGACGTGGAAGCTTAGAAGACTGGAGCATCCTAGACTACACTAACGAAGATGCCATCATGAGCACCCTTAGCAACGGCCACTGGCCAGGCCGCTAGGAAACACACACACTAGTTACCTAGGTCACTGCCACTACACCAAACATACAGCTGTCACACAATTGAATCCCTGCTGCTGGGTGAGCTAAAGAAGCAAGCGCCTTCCGTCAGGTGTTCTATGTTTTTGTCTTCTAAAGCAAGCTGCCCACCCACCACCTTTTTTCAAAGAATAGCTGTGGCTGGCCGGGAGCTTGCTATGTAGACCAGGCCAGCTTCAAACTCATAGAGATCAGCCTGCATCCCGAGTGCTGGGCTATTCTGTGCCTGAATAAGGCTCAAAGGTGGAGTTTCCAGAACAAGTGACCACAGCAATGAACACTGGCAGAAAACTTAAGGACAGAAGAGGCAAGCAGGAGAGCTGCTCATTTCTTTGAAGGATGCAGATGGAAATCCTCTGGCACTTTTGAGGAAAGGAGAATGGAATCCATCAAGTTAGGCACTAAGATCAGAAAGGGGAAAACCCATAAAAAATGTACCAGATGGACTGGACATAAAGAAAGGGAAAGGGAGGCCTGGGCCTTTCTCTCAGACCCTGAACACAATGGGCACTAAACAAATCAATGAGATTTAAAAAAAAAAAATCACCAGAGATGGGAAGTTGCTACCAAAGTCAGTTAAATTCTAGGCATCGTCTACCTGCAGGGCCTTTTCATAAGTACTTATTCTCTCAGACACCTGAGCATTCTGGGATGGAGAACTCAAGGGCCTGATCCTGATGACATTAGTTACAGAGGAACAGCCCAGGTTAGTCCCAAATTGGCTTTCCCCATCACATGAGGCTGCTTCAACACTTTTTTAAATTAAAAAATGTATTCTTAGACTGGAGAGATGGCTCAGCTGTTAAAGGCTAGGCATAGAACCAAAAAATATATACTTTATTTGTATGAATGGTTTCTCTTCATGTGTATGTAGATGTGTATCATACATGTGCCCAGTGCCCAAGGTCAGAAAAGGGCATCAGATCCCCTGAAACTGGAATTAGGGATGGTTGTGAGCTACCGTATGGGTGCTGGGAACAGATCAGAACCCAGGTCCTCTGCAAGAACATGCTCTTAACTACAGAGCCTTCTCTCTAGCCTCTTACCACTGTTATTACAGTTCTCTGGTTCTGCCTCAAATTATAAAAATTCCAAGGCTCAGTTGTTAAAGGTTAATTAAGCTCACAATCAAAACATCAAAATTCCTGATGATGGCCAGATGTGATGCTGTCTCAGGAAATAGAGGTAGACAAAATCCCGCTGACAGCCGAGCATAAAGCAATTACCCCATAGCCAAAGCTATAGCCACAGCTACACTGCCTCTGCATCCTTTTAGCCTCCGCACCTCTTCTAAGAAAGGCAGAGTGGGCATGCTACCATACTCCTTTAATCTCAGAACTCCGGAGGCAAAGGCAGGCAGGCAGATCTCTTGAGTTCGAGGACAGCCTGGTCTACAGGCTACATAGTTCCAGGACAACCAAGGCTATACAGTAAAATACCGTCTCAAAAAAAAACAGGGGGAAAAAAAAAGGTATGTCCATAGCCAAGTTGGTCTCTAAAGAATTTCTCTAGAAATTCTTCAATTAAGGGAAGAAGCATTGTCCTTGCAAAACCAGTAACTACCTCTCAAAGATAAAGGAAACAGGGAGAGGCCGGGGGGCTGGCTCTAGCCCTTAGTCCCATAAGCACTAAGACAGGTTCAATAGACGACAGGGTAGATCCCGTCCTTTTCATGGGCCAAGTCACAAACGCTAGTGTTTCATCTCATATAAACCTCATGGGAACCAGCTGGGTCACACAGCTGGGAAGGGACAGTTCTGGGAACGCAGCCTAGGTTTCATGGGTCAGCAGTGTATCTCTTCTGCCCAACAGAGACAAAGCATTTTTGATAGGAAAATTTCTCCAGCCCTCCTCCCCACTACTTCTAAACCCCTTACTTTTCCTGGATGATTGTTAGGAAGCAGGCTATTCTAGGACCTTCCATGAAGTCTCCCTAATACCTGGCTTCCCTTTGCTAGCCTGGCCAGGAGAAAAGCCAAAGACATAGTTCAGAGCTTGTCAGAGGATTTAGACACCATCAAATTTATTTTACCAATGAAGGCACAAAACAGGAAAGAGAAAAGAGCAGGTCAGGTCAGTCAGGCTAAGACTCAGGACTCAATTGAACACTGTTAGCAACACCTGCGCTTGAAGGTAGAGGTAGGGCTGGGGTTATTTAAGTGATGCATTTTGGATTGGCAAGATCAAAAAGGTGGAGCTGTCATTTCAATAGAGCCAAGGCAGCCACCTGCCTTGAAACTCATAGAAACCAGGCTGCCTTCTGAGGGCCTAACTCCTTCCATAGCTTCCTGCTCTGTCCAGGATCCTACTTGATCCTGAGCTAGGAAGCCCACTGTCTGATCAACCCAGGTACAGTAGCCCCACCACAAAGCACAGCCTCCTGCAATCTATCCCCTATAGCCTCTCCCCACACACAGGCAGTATCTTTTAGCAGCAGAGAGAACAAGTTGATTGTCCCCTGAACCAGCTCAATGACTGTCCCCAGTTATCTGAGAATAGAGATCATGTTCTTTTAAGGTCTCCTTGAAATAAACACCCTTCCAGAACACTTCTGAGTCCCCTCTCCAAACTGGCCCATCATGAAGGGCAGTAGTGAGAGAGAGACCTAAACCTAGCTCTTGTTTCTCTGCATTGCAGAGGCCAGTGACTCCCTCTTGATGAGGCAGAGACATACTCCAGGCTGGTCCTGACATCTCCAGAAGTTCCAGCTGCCCTTATAGTCTCACCAGCCCTGGGGAGGCCAGTGGATTTGCTAGCTTTTAGTATTGCTCTGCAGAGAGCTGGACCAGTGACAGGCAGCCCAGGAACACAGTGAGGCTGGCAGCAAACATAGCACCTTCACTTGTAACTCAGAGCCTGGATCTGCTGCTTCCTTATGAAGGGCAGCAGTTGGCCTGAAGCCTGCCTTCACTAAGGGGATCCAGGCCAGAAGCTCCTTTAGCCAGCCTCCCTCAACAGCTCCCCTGCATGATCCTGTCTGTGGAACTGTGTCCTCTCAAGACCTCCTTGGTGTGCCATAAGAACCTGGAAGCTCAGTCTTTTTAGCCAGGGCTCAAACCTGTCTTCTGAGGACCCAGCAAATGTCAACTTCCCATCTGGAAGTGGCTGGTGCTCATCAAGGTGCTTGATGGTGCTATTCCACAGCCACACAGTTGCAGTGTTTTCTGACTGGCTTTCTACTTGCTGATCCCTTAGGCTCCAAACTGGTCCAGGGCTACAACTCAGACTGGGATCTTGAAATCCTTGGGCCTTTCCGGATTTCTTTCCGCTTCTCTTCCTTCTTCCGGCGTTTTTCTTCTTCTCTCAAAGCCTTCTGGAAAGGGTCATTGCTAGGAATAAACTGAGATGAGCAGAGTAACTGGATTTAGTGTGGGGCAGCAAAGGGTTCCTCCGAGCTAAGCCACAGAGTGTGAGAAAAGGGAAGTCCTGGAGCAGGCCCCGCCCTTAGGGAGCCACAGACGAGGAAACAGATGAAAGGGCTCGGCCACTGACTGACCATGAGATAACCAGGAGCCTGACAAGCAGACGACGAGATAGGAGATTCCAGGCACGGCGGACAGGTGCCAGCCAAGGTGTGAGCCAAAAAACAAATCCACTCTTCCAGGAAGAAGGAGCAGTGTGGCTCTCAGAATACTTGTCTGACACACCCTTCAGGAAGGAAGCAAGCCTGGCATCCGAGACAACAGGTACTGCCTGTCCAGTGAACAGCAGTCACCAGGAGAGGGAGCACACAGGAGCAGGGTGGGTCAGAAGTCACACTGGCAGAGCATGAACAACAAGCGAGAGACAGGGGTGCTGGCAAGCAGAGATGGGCAGGGGGCAGGGGGCAGGGGGCAACTTCAGCCTCAACCCCAGGTCCTGACGCTTCTTCATCTACCCTTTGCAGAGTCTCACCAACCCTAAGCTCCTGTTGGTCTCTACAGCCAATAAACTCTCAAACTTGCATCTGTGTCTATTTGTCTCTCTGAGCAGTGAGACCCATGGCCACACTCTTACAGGCCTCTGCCCATGATCTGGCCTAGGCCCAGAATGCTCCTTCCAGCCCTGTCTGTGTTGTCTCATTTGCTCTGCTACCACTGCCCTGGAGACCTGTGGCTGCCTCCTCAGTGCCATCTGCCCCCTTACTAGTACCCTCCTTATAATTTTGTACTAATTTATTCTTGTGCTTCTCCTCCTTGGTCATCTACTTTGTGCCTGACACCTATAACAGCATGTTTTGTGAAGATGGAATGTTGGTATTGGGTGTTGTGCTCCACTGTATCCCAAACACAGAATCCCTCATGGGTCTCAACAGCATTCAGTGGACATTTTTGACAAAATGAACAAATGGGCTCATTAAAATATATAAACACAAAGTATTCAAAACTCAGGTGTGAAATATGTCCTTTTATATATTCTTAGGACAAAATCAACAAACATGTGATCAAGGTAAAAGCAAACTAAGAGTGCCACCTTGTGGCATAACCTACCTGCCAAGTGAATAGTCCATGCCTACGGGAAAGGGGTAGAGGGTGGGGTCCCTAGAGTGGTCCAGAGACAGAAATGACTCAGGTCAGCCAGTGGAATGTCCAACTAATTAGGACAAATCCAACCAGACATCCACTCACCTCCCAGATATCTATCACTCTTATCTCAAGAAGAAAAGAATCTTCAGTGGGTGATGGTGGCAAATGCCTTTAGTCCCAGCACTCGGGAGGCAGAGGCAGGTGGATCTCTGAGTTCAAGGTCAACCTGGTCTACAGAGCAAGTTCCAGGACAGTCAGGGCTACACAGAGAAACCCTGTCTTGAAAAACTAATAAAGAAAGAAGGAAGGGAAGAAAGGAAGGAAGGAAGGAAAGAAGGAAGGAAGAAAGGGAGGAAGGAAGGAAGGGAGGGAAGGAGGGAGGGAAGGAGAGAAGAAGGGAGGAAGAAAAGAAAGGAAGAAAGAAAGAAAAAGAAAGAGAGAAAGAAAGGTAGGTGACAGAGAATCCTCTGAGGCTGCTGTAAGTAGAGAGGTTCTTGCTGAATACAAAAAGTGGACAGGCTGGGAACCATTTGTATATTATCTGTGAAGCCCTGGGTTCAAGCCCAGTCTAATAAACTAGCAGGGTCATCCCCAGGCAACAAGAAGGAAATCACATTGCTCTGATGGTCACATTCAAGAGCATATTTTGATAACATTACACTTCTGACTCAACCTCCTGTGTAACAGGAGGCATGTATGAACAACCATAGGGTGAGAAAAGTCCACTTGCAGAAACTAAGCATCTCCTTGGTGCCCCCTTGTGGCGAGAATAACCTCTGCAAGGCCCTGAGTGCCTCTGACTGGGTCCACCTGGTTCAAGGTCTTGCCCAGGGATACTTCTCAGTTATGATTACACCAAGCAGCAGCCACTACTTTCATGGGGAAAACTACACCCTTGCTGCATAGAACAGGCACTGGCTCAACAGGAACCTCAGAGGTTCTGCTAGATTCAAACAGTCAGGCATGGTCCACTGTGGTTCAGCTAGGATACAAACTAAGATGTTGAACAGAAATGAGTTAACATTGCAGCTGTGGGCATGAGCAGTGGTGGATATGCTTGTAGTTCTGCAACTTCAGAGGTAAATGCAAGAGGATCAGGAGTTGAGGCTAGCCTGGGCTACATGAGACCCTATCTCAAAACAAACAAGGAAACAATAACAAAACCCAGGGGAAGAGTTGCAGGTCTGGTTGTTGTCTTTTAAAAGCCACATGTCTAAAGTTGGGCCTTGACTGGCAGCTGCAAACCACAGTCTTAATCAGGACGAGTGGTTCACTGTTCTCCACTGTCTGTGAAATCAATATGGTTTGCGCTAAGTCTCCTTCCAGCAGCTTGGGTTTGGGTACTAGTTAGACACAGGGTACTTGTGTAACCGGCTCCCAGTACAAAGGGAGGTGACAAAGGAGGCTCCTGCTAAGACTGGCTGCTGGGGAATTAAATATATCTTCTGTGACCACTGGGAGAGAATGCTGAAAGCTGCTTCTCCTGGATTTTGTCCCAGGTGTCAAATTCCAGGGCTCAAGAGATCTTTCCATTCAACCTCCCAAACTGCTGAGATTCTGTGTGTGTGCTAGCTACCACAGTCAGCTCTATAACCATGTAAAACTCCCAGTCATCTGAACCTCCTGAAAGAAAGTCTAGGTGAACGAGGGAGGTAACTAGAGAACAGTTAAATTATAGGTATCAGGAGGGGACACATGAATCATTCAGCAAGAACGCAGGTGCCTGGGGATAAGACTCTAGAAGACACGGACAACGATCCAGTGGCAGGTATCACTAACCATCACTGCGTGTGTAACTCTCATCCACATGGTGGGAAAACTCACATAGACACAGTCAATAATGAACTACTGTCCTGTGTTCCACACCATCAAAGGTAGCTAGCTCCTCAGAGTACCTGCACATACACAGGATAGCATGACTTTGTTCTACTCTCGCAGATAAACTATCTTTTATTCTTAATGTCTGAGCAGCCTTGATTATACCACACAAGGTAACAGAGGCTAAAATTCTGCACTTAAATATCCTCAGGACTTAGCCAAACAATGTACTGATGACTTAAAGCAAAGTGGGAGAGGAGGGCCCAGAGACATCTACCCATGGTGGATGGCTGCTGCTTTGGGCCCATCTTTTGCTTCCTACAATGATTAACAAATACATTTAGTAAAACTGGTAGTTAAAAATCTAAATTTTAGATCAGTGTAATAGATAATACATTGATTTTCAGATGATAGTCTAATGGTCCAAAATGAGACATCCTAGTCCCAAGATTTAAGTAATATCTGTTTGAGTGAAGGACCCTGAGGAACATGATAACTGAAGTCAGACCTGCAGGCTGGCCTCATCCTCATACTCAGAACAGGGGTGTGGTAGTTTGAGCCTGTAATCTCAGCAATTTGAAGGAAGGCTAAGGCAGGAATGTGGCTAGCTTAAGGTCAACCTGGGTTACAGAGTAAGACTCCATCTCAAAACTCAAATCAACAAACCCAAAACAATGCATGATTGCAGCCTCAATAAGTGACATGAGACAAACTGAACGGACTTGGTCACTGCCTCAGTCAGATTAACCAGGCAGGAGGCTATGCAGCAAGCAATTTCCAACCTTCTGGAACCTTCCTACGTTCTTACTGAGTACCTAGAAATGCAAAATCTGGTAAATTCTCTTGTTTTATTGATTTTATTTTTGCTTTGTTTTAAGGCAGTTTTAGTCCAGGCTAGCCTCAAATTCACTACATAGACAGGTGGCCTCTTGCTCCAGCCTCTTGGTTATAGGTAAGTATCACCATATTTCCTTCTAGCAACTCTTTATCTAGACTATTTTTTCAGGATTACTTTTGCAAAGAGACTAATCTTGTAAGGACGAGGTATCTTTTCCTTGACAAAGCATAGATCTGTTTAATTCACTATGAGGATGTCAAATTTCCCAAGCGCAGTGGTCTGAAGGTATAATGATGCAAGCTGACTGCATGCACAACATCTGCCTGGACCTTCCATGTAAAGACCTGGACGAACAAGGGGACCCAAGACAAAAAGCCTAACAGTGTAGCTACTGCTCTTGCTGTACTGCAAACTGTCTATGACCTGCTGGCATCCATACAACAGCAGGCTACTTTGTCAGCCTGCAAGCAAGTAGACTTGCATATCACAGACTCATCAACATCTGTCTCTACACAGGCGTGAGTTGTGATCTGAAGAGTCTCAGCTTCTCACCCACAGGAGGAGCCTTTCCTTCCTGTCCTCCTTGGCCTGCCCTGCTCCCTCTGATTCCTTCCCCTTATATGTGTCACCATCTGTCTTCTCAAGCTGCAGCTGTTAGCCCCCAGAGCCAAGTTTAGAACTCTAGATTAGAGGCATGTGTAGGCGTGAGAACAGAAGCCCCAGTGTACTAGTACCAGAGGCTCGAAGCAGGGAAGAACGTGACCTGACCTCACCCGGTCACTCTGACACTCGTAACCTTGGGTACATACTGTGCAATGAGATGAGCATGTTCATAGCCTCAGGAATGCCCCCAATCTCCATCTGGCCCCCAGCTTTGGTGTACAATATTCAGAGAGGAACAGTGACTTGCCAAAACCGTCAGTGACTTGAGTAATAGTTTCTGGAGCCATACTCATTGGATTGTCTGGTTTCAAGTCTAAAGCTCACACACAGCATACCCTAGGCCTTACTTAGTCCCTGTAGACCCCACCTCCCATGCAGCATATCTTAGACCTTAGTCCCTGCAGGCTCCACCTCCTGTGCCCACCAGACACCAACAGTCAAGGGCCCCAGCAGCTCACCTCTGTCCGGTCTATTTTAAACGGGTTCTGGAAGTCAGAATCTTTCTCACTGATCCCCAGCTCCTGGGCCATCTGTGGATGAAAAAGCCAGTCATACTCTTCTGCCTTCTGCTCCCTGATTACTAGAGAGCCATTCCACCATGCAGGATTGCAAGCCTCATAGCCTAGGCAGATATGGGCCAGAAACGATCCCTAGGGGCCCTCAAGTCAACGCAGAACACCTTGAAATTAGGCCTCTATGACCCAAAGTGCCCTGACACTTACAGAACACATTAAGTACCTAGGATAACTTACAGGGCCAACCACATACAGATTTGAGGCTCCCAGCTCACTGCCCGACAGGGATCCCAGCCCTCTTACCAGTCCTTACCAGGTTGAGGATGGGTGAGTGGGGGCCCTGGTCAAAGACACCTGTCTGATTGCAGAAGCTGATGCCCCAGCGGATGAGGAGGTTCCAGTTGGAATTATGGTCAAAGTAGTGGTGTACAATCTTTGGGAAGCGCAGCACGACGTCACCAAAGAAGGCTGTGTTCTCCAGCACGTGGGAGAAAGCTGGTAAGAGGGTTGTAGTGAGTTTTCAGGGTAGTTGCTCTTCTCCTCTTGTCCACCCGGCTGACCCCAGACCTCCTCCAGGGATGGAGCTATCTACTAAACCCACCAACCAGAGAAGGGCATGGCAGCCATTGATCACAGGCTGCTCACTGCATATGCACTGTACACTAGGGCCTTATATTCCATTAATGGATTTAGTTACAGAGAGAGATAGCTGCTGTTCCTGTTTTACAGATTGTGTTGGTTAGGGGGTTGTTTGCTGTTGGACTTTTATTTTTTCAACTTGACATAAGCGAGTGTCATCTGGGAAGGGACACTCATCAGGGAACTGTTTCCATCACACTGGTCTGTGGCCATATATCTACATCCATTTTCTCTAGAGATGATTAATGTGGGAGGACCCAACCTACTGTGGAGTGGGCTACCCCGAGCTTATACAAGAAAGGAGGCTGAGCAATCCATGTGGAACAAGCCAGTAAGCAGCGCTCCTCCATGGTCTGTCGGTTGCTGCCTTGGCTTCCCTCAATGATGGACTGTAATCTCTAAGCAACAACAAACCAACCTTTCTTTCCCTAGTTGGTCAAAGTGCTTAATCACAGAACAGGAAGCAAACCAGGACACAGTAGCTAGTGAGTGTAAAAACTTGGCCTGCAAACCTAGGGTATTTGTTCAACCTCACAACTTGGGAGCTTAGAGGACTCATCTTCAGAACTGAGGCACAGTAGTGCACTGGACAGTACAAAGCCAGGGATCAGGAGTTCAATGTCATCCTTTGTTATAGAATTATGGAGCCAGTCTGGGCTACATAAAACCCTAGGTATTCCCTTGTTTTGAAAAAGGATGAATTTACTTTGAGACTCGGAGACCGGTATTGTTTTATACAGAGGCAGATACCCAGGCATGGAGCTAAGGGCCTGGAGCCGTGTCTTAGTGTTAACTGCACAAGGTCAGTTCTGTCAGGACGGCTAGTAGAAGGGTCAGAATTGTAGTGTTTTTTGTTTAAAGTATTCTTTCTAGCCAAGTAGTGGTGGCACACGCCTTTAATCTCAGTATTTGGGAGGCAGAGGCAAGTGGATTTCTGGGTTTAAGAACAGCTTGGGGTATGTGTGTGTGTATATTTACATACATACACATGTGTGTATGTAAATATATATTTTTTTCCATTTAATTTTATTTCGTTTTGCTTGACAGAGGGTCTCATGCAGCCCAAATGGGACTGACACTTATAATGAAACCAAAAATCACCTTGAACTCCTGCTCCTGCCTCTGCCTCCCAAGTGTTGAACTCCTGCCTCTGCCTCTGCCTCCCAAGTGTTGAACTCCTTCCTCTGCCTCTGCCTCTGTCTCTGCCTCCCAAGTGTCGGGATTACAGGTGCGTGGAACTGTAACTAGCTTTACTTTTCTGTTAAGCGCTTTACTCTCTCTCTTTCAGCAGTGCCTTTATGTGGCCAAAGGCTAGCCTAAAACTCAGTATGTAGTTCAGGTTGGCCTTGAGTTCATGGTCTTTTTTCTAAAAGCTAGGATTATAGGTGTGTGCCCCAACTCCTGGCTTAGTTTGAAATCATCTAGACATATTTACTACAACATAAAACTCTCACCCTGCTCTGTCTAACACCACAATCTTACACCAGTGTATCTAAACCAGGAAATTAACAATACATCAGCTTACCTCAGCCATTCGGCATTTTGCTTTCCCTCCTCTAATGAGGTCAACAGGTCAGTTTGCACTGGGGTTAGCGTGTTCACTCTAGTGATAAGTCCCCGAGACCCAGGTAAGAACGAAGTGTAGCTATATCTGCACTCCTGGTGCAGAGAGGACCCAGACAGCCCAGGGAGACAAGCAAAAGCCAAAGATCTGCCAGGTTGGTGTGCAGGCCATGGACCTCCAGATTTCAGAATAACCCTGATGCTCAGAGAACGTAGGAGAAAGAAGAGCCAAGGCAGAGAACGTGTTCTCTTCCATCAGGCGTGAGGGGTGACACCTGTGAAGCGTCACTATTCACACAAGCTGCTCCCTCTGCTCCCTCCTCTCAGTAACTCTAAGAACTATTATTGCTAAACTGTGATTGGTTAGGTCAGGCCTTCAATCTCAGCACTTGGAAGCAGAGGCAGGCAGATCTCAATGCATGAGGCCACCCTGGTCTACATATCAAGTTCTAGGACAGCCAAGGTTACCTAGTGAGAAAAAACAAAACTGTGATCCATTAGAAGGCATGAAGAAGAATACCACCGAGGAGGAGCTCTTGCAGGAAGGGCGGGGGTCATGAAACAGCCCTTCACCTTACTTGTCTTCTCACCTTGCCTGAAAGGAGTTTAAGGAGTTTGGGACCTGTGCTAAAGTAGCAAAAAGTGCTGGTAATCACACTTTGGCTCAGCTATCTGATAGGCCCTGGTCATTTCTCCTTCAGATGGGAACAATCTCCATCTGCCTTCCTAAAAAGTGATGAACAGGCTCTGTCCTGTCCCCTAGAGTGATAGTAAGCAGAGACTCCTCTCTAGTTTCCCTGTCCTAAGCATAGGACAGCATAAAGGAATACCTGCTGAGGGCAGAGAAACCAGTTCTGAACCCCAGAAATAATTAGAGAACTACGCTGGGCCCTTATCCACCACGGGGCCATGACTCAGGTATCACACAAGGATATTCCAAGGGGACAGAGTGATGAGAACAGTGAAGGAACAGCTGGAGAATACCAAGAGGGGTAGGGAGCCAAGGGCAGTGCTGGGGAGACCATACCATCCTTCAGCTTCTCATCCTGCGGGAAGGGCCCATCTGGAAGCACATCGGCAGCGATGAGCACTGTCCGGGAGTCCTCCAGCACCTGAGGGAACCCCATCTGGGCTAAGTGGCTTTGTGGAGACCTTCACAACTTAGCTCCAGCCTGTTACGTGAATCCCACTCTGACTTGTCTACAAACGGCTCACTCCCTCACTGAACACTGTTCCCTTTAGAGAACCCTCAGTCCATGCTCCAACTGAAGCCCTGTCCTGCTGTGAGCTGCCCTGTTTCCTGACACACCTTAAACAGTCCCTTAAGCATGACATCGAGGATCTTGTACTGCTGGTGGATGTCGTTCAGCTGTGCCAGGTTCTTCAGCGCCAACAGCTGTTCTCGCCGCTTCACCTCAAACATCTTCTTGTCTGAGCAGCCGCAAGTTAAGGAGCTAGCACAAAAACCAGTTCAATGGCCCTGACACAGAAGGCCCATGCATTCCCTAACCTGTGCCACCAAAGCCTTGGATGGCCACAGCTAGGATGTACATAGGTCCTGTAATGTACCATTTCTCTAGATCTCAAAGACTCCACATACAGAAAAGAGACCAAGCCCAACGCTCCAAACCAGGCACCTGCCCTCTGCTTCCCGTGTCTCCCTGTCCTCTCTCATAATCTTTCACTGTTCCAGAACCTCCAGCAATCTGTTTCAACTGTAGCGTCAGCCGGACATGCCCCAACCATTCTCCTGGAGTTTCAGTTCTCAGACCTTGCTCAGTAGGTCCGTAGTACATTTCCCAAGACCTCCTGTACCCATCAGAGCTTCTGAGCACAGGAACAATCATCTGTGTGGATGTTCTGCTGGTTTAAATGAGACTAGCTCTCATAGGCTCAAATTTAAGTGTTTAGTTCCCAGATGTGACAGGAAGCAGGGCAGCTCACAGCAGGACAGGGCTTCAGTCAGAGCATGGGAGGATAAGTAGGGGTTCTCTAAAGGAGACGGTGTTCAGTGAGGGAAGGACAGGGTTAGGAGGTATGGCCTTGTCAGAAGTGTGACATTGGGGAAGGCTTTGAGGTTTCAAAACCCACACCAGGCCCAGTGACTCTCTCTGCCCCTCAACTACAGATCATGATGTAATCTCTCAGCTGCTGCTCCAGCACCCAGGCTGCCTGTCTGCTGCCATGCTTTTCATCATGATGATCAAGAACTAACCCTCTGAAATGACAAGCAAGCCCCCAACCAAATGCTTTCTTTTATAAGCGACCTTGGTCATGGTTTCTTTCTCTTCACAGCAACAAAACAGTAACTAATACACATACTTTCTGGCTCTATATGCTTCAAAACCAGGGATGGTCTTATCTCATCTTTGGGTTGCTAAGGCATGGCTCAGAGAACCAGTCAAGATAAGCTGGTAATACAAAGTTCTGGAGGTCCTGTGTGAGGTCTTAGCCAGATACCACACACACAGAGTTCTCAGCCTTTGCAGATCTGAGAGATGGGTCTAACATTCAGGGAACAGGCTCAGAAGAAAACTGATATGCTCAGTCTGGCCAGAGCTTGTTTCCTCCTCCCTCCTATTCTTACCAACTCTTGTCTGCTCATCCCTGGAATTCTCCCAAGGAGTGATGGATGCTGAGAGATCTCATTTACCAGCCTGTCAAAGACAGCTAATTCACTCCCCACTCAAACCCCAAAGAGATACAAATCTTGAGGCTTGGGTCCAGAGTGTTCTTCAGGGTGCCTGTGACTTCTGTGCCAGGCAACAGTAGGACAGAGAAGGCTGCCAGGAACTGAAGAAGGTCCATATCTGAGACTCTGGAGCTAGAAGAACAACCCAAAGATGGGGGGGAGGGGAGGAAGGGAATGAATTTAGTGAAAACACAGTTCCACAGACATGGCCCAGTCTCCAAATACCACACATCCAGCTCTAGGAAGCCCTGAAGATCTAGCCAGGGCTGCTGACTAGCAGGCATACAATACAGGCCTACAGGACGGCAGGATAAAGGGATACTTTAGCAATGCTTACAACACTGGATAGGGATCTAGGCTAGAGCTCTAGGCTGGAGTCTTGACTACATCTGCCTCTGTTACTGGACAAGTGCTCCAGTTCCCTAAGCTACAGCTTCCTTAACACAGTGTCCTATAAAACAGGACATAGGCACTCCCTTTCCTGGTGTAGAGCGGCAGGTCTCAACAATGTATGTACTCTGTCTGGAGAAAGGGGCTGGCTGTGCAGTAATGTTCTCTTCAAATCTCTGTCGTAGCCTTCTAGGAGGACATCAGCCAAGGAGTCTCAGGCAGGGAAAAGGTACGTAAGACTTGTGTGGTTTCCCTCCTTCTCTAACTTCTTCTGACATCAGGAAGAAGGGACACAGGATGGGGAGGGGAGCAGGGGAGACTTGGAGACTACAACCACTCACTTGGGAACCACACGCAGCATCTCTTCCTAGTCCAACAACAGCCCACCGTTACTAATCAATGTTCCATGCAGTTCTAGAGCTGAGAACACAAACCCAGGAAGCATGGCAAACCAAACTCCCTGAACTTGTACTTTATCCCTTGAATGGGTCAGAGACAATCAACAAACATACACGCATAAAAGGATAAGTCAGGGAAGGGAAGGGCTGGTAAAGTTAGAACCAGGGCCTGAGTCTGGTCCCCAGTATCATTTGTAAGCTGGACACAGTGCATGCTTGTGGTCCTGGAGCTGAGGAGCTGGAGACTCAGCGATCCCTGGGGCTTGCTGGCCAGCTAGTCTGGCTGAATCTAGGAGTGCCAGGTTCAGTGAAAAGCCTTGTCTCAACGATCAGGGAACAGAACAATTAAGAAAGATTCCCGGTATCAACCTCTGGCCTCCATATGCACACACTGAAGTGTACACACATGAACACAGTTGGTTTTTGTTTTTGTTTTTTTTTTTTAAAGAACAAGAGGGATTTGCTCAAGTAAAATACTAATAAGTGTGGGCCAGGAGTAGTGGCTCATGACTTTAATCCCACCACTTGGAAAGTTGAGGCTGGAGAATTTCCTTAAGTTTGAGACTAATCTAGGCCTTGTCTAAAACTCCAAAATGGATAGAATGGGGTGGAACATGACAGTCAACGGAGGCCTCATACTCAGATGATACCCGGTTTTACTAATGTGGAAACTGAGGGACAAAAAAAAAAAAAAAGTGACTATTCAGAATCTTACAGCTGTTCCTAGACTGAGCCAAAAGTCTTACTCTCAGTACACTGCACTGTTTCTTTTCTGTAAATAAGCACGGGGCACCTCATATCAAAGCTGGCTACACCCCACTCCAGATTTTGAGAGACCGTTAAGAGAACCCCTGTCCCCACGAAGACCGGGCAAGCGAAGTCTACAGAAAGACTCCAAGATCATCCAGGAACGTCCACCTTCCGCCTCACGCTCCAGAAGCCAAGGGAGCCTGAACCAGGCCCACAGCAAAACTTAGGGAAACAGAAATTTACTAGACAACCTAGGATAACTCAAGCAGGACAAACGTGAGAAAGCAAAGTAGCGGACCGCGAGGGACAGGTTTGGTTTTCTTTACTGTTACTCTACTCTTCGGCCTCTAAATCTTGCTTCTGTCCCGAGCGTCCCCGGCGCTCTTTCAAGCTCGGCAAGCGACTCCGAAATCGTCTTGTAGAGCCAGTGGTAGTGGTCGGGCGGGGGTTGGTTCCGCGCCTTGGGGCTTCGGAGGGACCAGAGAGCCCTTCTAGGAGGTGTCCAAGTCCCGAAACCTGTACACAGTGCAGGGGGCTCCGGACTCCCCTCCCAAGAAGCCTACAGTACAGCCCGGCAGCCCCACCACCACCTACCCGGGCCGGCGCTGCAAGGAGCAGGGAGCAGCCCCTCGGCGTGCAGCCGGAAGCACCAAACTCAGGCAAGGCGCGGAACTCTAGAGCACCTGGCCAGCAGCGCTAAGAGACCGACGAGCGGCCGTCCCACCCACTGCTCTGCTCCTGACCAATGAGACCGGGCCGCGACCGCCGCGCTCCGCTGACCTCACTTCCGGCCTCGCCCCTACTGCGCTCTGGTGCCTGGCGCTGCAGCTGTCAGCAACAGCGTGGTCCTGGGGAAGGCGTCGCTGGGCACGCTGCTGATCTCGGTTCTAGTGGAGTTGGAGGAAGTTAAGTTACGGATGGGGCCTTTACCCCTGCTTAAAGCACGTCAGCAAACCCCGGCCCGAAACCCTGGCTGCCCGGCGCTTTAGGCATAGTGCCTGACATCTCCTCCGAGTCCATTTTAAACCTCAGTTCGCAAGATCCAAAGAACTTTTTAAGGAACTAGTAGAACCCGTACTGCGGAGCGCGGACACCCCTACTTGCCCATCCAGTCCACTAATTTCTAAACCAGAGTTCTTTGTCTGTTCGTCTTCTGTTTTGCTCCGGGTTGGAGACTGGGGGTGTCAGGACAGCTAGATCCGGGGAAGACAGGTGGAGCCGCCAGTTAGAACGCAAAGCCCAGGCTGGGCTGTTAGACAAACGGGTGTGGGCAGAGTTGTGTGCCAGCAGCCAGCGACGGTAGACATTAAATGACCATTGCCCATGTGAGTATAGAAAAGGGCTTTGAAGCCGGGCAGTGGTGGCGCACGCCTTTAATCCAGCATTTGGGAGGCAGAGGCAGGCGGATTTCTGAGTTTGAGGCCAGCCTGGTTTACAGAGTGAGTTCCAGGACAGCCAGGGCTACACAGAGAAACCCTGTCTCGAAACAAACAAACACAGAAAAGAAAGAAAGAAAAGGGCTTTGAGAGGGCTGGCTTGAGCCAGGAGAGCTGAAGTGGGTTTGCTCAGGGAGTCAGACTTGGAGTTTGATCCTCCCCCCACCCCCTTTGAGGTTGGGTCCTTCTCAGCTCAGGGGTTCTTCATGTTCTCTATGTACAACTATGAGACACTTTGCAGATACTCTTAAATGCTGTCTCTCTCCACTGTCTGTCTCCATCATTTGCTGAAACAAGCCGGTGTCCAACGGAGTAGCTGAGGAACAAGTTCCAGGAAGATGAGTTTGGAGTGAAAGCCCACACAGGAATGTTAATGCATTATTTTATTTCCTGATTCCATTTCCACTGTGGAGTAAAACAGCTCCAGAGAAAGGCCTAATACTGTTTTCCCCTCAACAATTATGTAGAGAATGGCCTGATATTGTCGTTTTCCCCTCAACAATTATGTCCTGAATCTGTCTGCAGGTCTCATTTTTTTTTCTCTGTTTCTGGGTCTTTATGTCCGGAGGCTCAGTCTCTGATGTGATTCAGGGAAACAGACACACCTCCGAGGCAGCTGGCATGGAATATGAGAGGAGAATAGAAGAGAAATGGAGCTGAAGGGGTAGGGGAGGGAATATCACAGAACCCCAGAAGGACAGGAATGGTCAGAGAAAAGCACGGATGCTTCTAATCTTGATGGCACGGATTTCAAAACTGGGACCAGCAGTTGGCATACAACAGCGAACTGCTCCATGAAAAGACAAGACGGTCAGGGGAGTAGCCAGTGGGGCTAGGAAGTCCTCCTCCTCCACACACACCAGCACTATAAAGTGACCAAGTCCTAACCTAGAGAACGCTGGCCACCAGGACAGCCCGGGCTTTATTCTCAGCTTCCTAAGTGCTGGGATATACAGATATGTGCTATCATGGTCTCAACCCCAGACTTTTTTAGGGACTTATCAACCACCACCCCTCCCTACTTGAACTGAGGAAAATATACTGCTACAGTCTCGGAGACTTGGTGATATTGCCCGGGCCAAAGCCTGCAGCTGCAAGAAAGGATACAGCATGTCTTGAAAGAATGGCTGGGCAGGGAGGGTGCGGGAGCAAAGGCCCTCCAAGGAGGCTTGCAAGGTCTGAGTCATGTTGTGGTCATTTAGGAGACCCATGCTCTGGACCTGTCGGAGAAGTGACAGGAAAGTTACGCCCTTTCTAACTGTCCCCACCTCGCATACTCTTGACCTCCCAGTGGCTTCAGTGGCCAGAGCTTCCACTTTCTACAGAGAAGATGGTCTTGAGGGTCTAGCCTCATGCACCACATCCCCTTTCCACTCACCTGCAGGAAGAAGCCATGCAGGGCCCGGAGTGTATCGTTTGAGAGAGTCGACAGGTCAACCAAAGCTGCACTTTGCAAAATAAGACCCACCTCTTCACGAGAGAGGACGCCGCTACTCCGGTACTGCACGAACTAGCTCAGGAATAAAAGCCCCAAATGACCACAATTAGAGGAGACGCCATTTTCTGTGGACTGCTGTAACCAGCACTGAGCTGGAAACACTATTCTAAGCCCAGAGTCCTGCTTTTAAGCTCTGCACCGGTGAGAGTGGGTGGGACTGTCTCACAGGAGAAAAGGGCAGAGAAGGTAGACCGAGCTCATGAGAGAGCTGGCCTTAGGGACCTCATCAGGCTCCCTACTCGCCCAGCCTTACACTGCAAACTCATGGCTGAGATGAACTGTGTGGTCCTTATAGCTCCTCTGTGTGCTCTTGGCACTACTCCTCTTACTTCATCCCTGTAATACTGTCTCCTTCTGCCTAGTAACCCTTCAAGCCTCAAGATGAAACAGTCCCTACCCTTCACAAGAGCAACTATCTTTGTGTTATGACACCAACCTCTGATTAGTGGGTGAGTTTCACTGTCGCCCATGAGCTTGTTCTTGTGTTCTCTATTCAACAAGAATTATTATGTGCCAAATACTCTATCATTCAAGATATCAAATGTAACTCTTCGTTCACTTGTCTTTCTAGAATAAGGGATCTTTGGAGGCAGAGCATGTGGCTCACCAACATTCTCAGTACCTAGACCTTCCTGTCTGTCATATTACAACAGTCCCTGGTCATTGCTTCATGAAAGAAAGAAGAGAAAATGTGTCCTCAGGATAGATGCAGCTATTCACAGGAAACCCCTGGGCAGGTCTCTTGTAGTGTGAAGGTCACACAACCCCCTCTGCCCTTTGAAGATGAAGGTCAGCTGAAATACCATCGTGTTTTGGACCACCTTAGCAACACCCTGCTGATACCTTCCAGCTATAGACCTATCCTTTCTGCACTTACCAAGGTCATAAGTCTCAGTATCTCAGGTCTGAGGAAGGAATTCTCTCCAGCATCCAAGAGGGTGAACAGCAAAAACCGGTTCCAGGGCTGGGAGGCCACATGGAGCGCTGCAAGAAACACCAGTCCTCAGCTGGTTAGTGCTGTTCCTCCAGAGATCTAGGAGCGAGCCCGAGAGGAGTTTTTCCTATTAGCTTATAAAAACACGGACGGGCTGGGTTCATGAGGTCTCCTGCCTGGACTTCAGACCACCCATACGCACTCCCAGGGAAAGCCTATCACATGACTGTAGGTCATGGAAGTGGGCAGCTGGCAGGCCTCTGCTTTTAAGAGCACTGTGACCAGTGTAGGTCACTTGAACACTCCGATCCTCAGTGTCCACATCTGATGACGGACATGGCAGCCTCCTTTGCTGTGTTGTCAAATCACTGGGACAGTAAGGTACCCTCTAATCTTGATCATGGGAAAATGAGAAAACAGAGGTTTCTACCGACGTCTGGGCTCCGGGCATGCAGGTAATCAAGCAAGGCTTCCAGACAGCCAATACAAGCCTGAGATAGCAGAGGGTCTTTCTGGAAAAAAATCAAAACAGAATTAGGGTCAGGATTTGTTTGTTTTTCTGAGACATGTAGTCCAGGCTGGCCTCAAACTCTAGGATCATCATGATCATCACCATCACCATCACCACCACCACCACCACCATCATCATCATCATCATCACACACTCAGACACACTCACACACACACTCACACACATACTCACATACACACAAACACACACAGACACACACTCACACACACACTCTCACACACACTCACATACACACAAACACACACACTCACATACACACAAACACACACAGACACACTCACACACACACTCACATACACACAAACACACACACACTCACATACACACAAACACACACAGACACACACTCACACACACACACTCACATACACACAAACACACACAGACACACACACACAGATACACACACTCACATACACACAAACACACACAGACACACACACACTCACACACACACACACTCACATACACACAAACACAGATACACACACTTACACACACTCTCACATACACACAAACACACACAGACACACACACAAACACACACACACACTCTCACACAAGTTTAGTTTTAACAAAGAAAAAGTTTTTCAGTTATTTAGGTTTCGTTTTTTCAGACATGGAATACAGTCCTGTAGATAATATGAAAGTGCTTGTTAGATTCATTGGTCATGTACAGCGCACAATGTTCACACTAAGTAACATGCTTTGTGAAGCACATTGTCTTATTTTTCTTGAAACAGGTATTATACACCTGGCTGATGGAGATTGTACTGTGTAGATCAGGTTGGCCCCAAACTGTGTTAAACCTCCTGCTTCTGCTTCTTCCCAAGTGCTAAGATTAGGGACACAACTTGGCACCTAGCTATAACAAACTGGTTTTTTCTCTAGTCTAGTTACATTCATCTTACTGTGGTTTGTTTTTTAAGACAAGAGTTTACCTGTGTAACAGAGCTCTGACTATCCTGGACTTGATTTGTGGACCAGGCTGGCTTCCAACTCAGAGAGATCTGCCTGCCTCTGCCTATTGAGTGCTGGGATTAAAGGTGTGCACCCCACTACCAGCACACTTGCCTTTAAAAAAATTATTTACTTTACATCCCAACCAGCTTCCCCTCCCTCCTCTCCTCCCAGTCCTTCCCCCATGGATATCAACCAGCCTTGGTGTATGAAGTTGCAGTAAGACCTGGCTCTTCTACTGAGGCAGCCTAGTGGTGGGGAAAGTCCCAGAGGCAGGCAACAGAGTCAGAGACTGCCCCCGCTCCTGCAACAGAGTCAGGGACAGCCGCCTCCCCCTGCTCCTCCTGCAAGGAGTTCCATAT